AAAGTCAAAGTTCCCAAGCACAAAGCTCCACCTACGAGCTATGTGTATCCAGGCAGCCTCATCGCGTAGAGCTGAGGCTCCTGCCGCTCAGAGGCTGAGACACAGGCCCAAGGTCACACAGAGCTGGCTGTCCTGACCCCAGGCCTCTCCCAGCGCTGCTGGCGGCTTTGGGAAGCCAGGCCGCAATGTTTCGATGGAGACGCTCCCCAAGCGCTTCGGAGACCGGGGCACATCGCCGAGTGACGTGATCGCCTCTCCTGCAGGGACTCGGAAGAGCTGGACTGAGCATCCCTGGGCCACCTCCCATCCCGGCACACGATTAGGGCCTTGCAGCCTCCTCAGACCCCGAGACCCCTCTTGAGGGCCCGAGGTGGTCCTCTTCACCAATGTCCCTGGGCTGCTGCTTAACCATCGCCTCTACCGGAAGCCACCGCGGACCCCGCAGTCTGACTCGGGGACCATGCTGGACACTCCCATGGAGAGCGGCACAGCTTCAGGACCCTCTGCAGACCTGGCATCATCGATTTGTTCCATCTCCCAACCCGACCAGGAGCTGCAACTAGCTCCCCTGTGCCCCAACCCCCGCCGGAAGGGGAAACAGCTCTGCTTCAGAGGGGGCCGTCACTCGGGCCTCTCCCATCCCCAAGGATCCCTCTGCCTCCTCCTCGCCTTTGAGCCACCTGTGTTTCCGGCCTGTCCCTCCCTCGTGCGAGAGCGGCGCTTCCTCACACACGGCGGATGTCGGGCTAGACAAGACGGATGGCCGAGGGCTTCGGGATGAGCTCTGTGACATGCTTTCATAGGTTACCTCTTAAAAACCAATTAGTAAATGTTTCTGATGATCTCTTTTTTTTAAAAGAAATGTTAATTTTTTTCTGGGTGTAAAAGAAACACGTACCCATTGTGGCAGATGTGGAGCATATAGAAAAATAATGAAGGAAGGACATTCATTCAGTGGCTCTAGAACTCAGAGAGAACCGAGATGAGCGACATGACATGCTTTTGTACATACACGTGTGTTCACCTCTTATCATCCGTTTTGTTCCTATTTTTAAATATTTCATTTAAAATGAACTCTTAGGCTAATATTTTTGTTCTCATGTCAGTGCCAAATCAGGCATAAAAAGAAGCACCTGTTAGCTCTTGCTGATGGGCCTAAAATATTCTCTTCCCTCTTGAGTTTCTGAGAAGCCTGAGGTTTGCTCGAGGCTAGCCTAGGGCAGTGTCCACAGTCCCTACTTTCCAGCTCATCAAGCACATGCTGAAAATGCCTTTTCACGGCCGCCTGCCTTCTCTCCTTGGGAAATCACAGTTCGATACGGGGTCCTCCTTCCACTTTTGTCCTCAACCCAGGACACTGAGGCGAGAGAGGTACAGGTTGGGACATGAGGTAGAGTCTTAAGAGAGGAGGGGGCCCGCCCTCACCCCCCCACCCCTGGCCCAGTGACTCTGGCCTCAGGTTGTTGAGGGCGCTGACCCGGGACCACCACTCTGTCCAAAGACAGGGGAGGGTCTTTACAGTAGCCAAACCAACCCCTCCCTGATCTGGCCACCTCATGGCTGGTCTGTTCCCACAGGTCCTGTGGCCTTGCTGGGGCTGAGACAGATGAAGCCACAGAAGGATGAGAGTGGCAGCAGGAGGCCCCCTTCGCCCCCATGAGCCCTTAAGCACAGTCCTAGCAAGAACAGGATTGGGGGGCTGCCATCCCTCCCTAAGCCCACTCTGAGGAAGAACAGTGCAAAGTGTCCCCAGGGCCCTGTGGGCTCCATCACAGGAGCTCATTAAGGTCGCCACTTGAGGGAAGTACTGGGTGCAGCCTGGGTTCCGGCTGTCACTCAAGCCTTCAGGCCCCAGGGTGACATGGCTGTGGGTATGATCTCAGAAAAGACAAACCTGCAAGACGAGACCAAATGACTCTGCACTCGGTCAGACAACTGGAATCCTCCTGCCCGCCCAGTCACAGTGGCAGAAAGGGTGACTGAGCTGGGCCTGCCGACCAGTGGAGGGTCATGTGCTGGTGGCATGTGTCACCGGCCTGGGAGCTCCCTGTCCCTCATGCTCATGTCTCTCATTTGGCTCCATTTCTCTTCCTGGCCTAGGTCAAGAGTGTCAGCAGGGCCGGGGGCCTGGTGGACAAGTCAGTTGTGGGTTGTGACCCCTAAGCTTCGGGGCTGTGGGGCTGCCCCTGCCCTAGCCAGGCCTCTGGGGGCTAGAGAAGCCAGGACCTCTTCATCACACCTCATTCTTCTGGGGGGGTGGGAGGAGGGGCTCTCCGGCGCCACTGGCTGTGGTCCTGAGGTCACTGTCTGCCCATGCACGCGTAAAGGGGTAGAGAAGGCTGTGTTCCTACAGGCTCGGTCAGGACCGGCTGATGGCGTCTCTGAGAAGGGAAGCTGTGCTTTGTTGAGTGTTTTGGAGGCTCTGGAAGAGGAAATCTGTTCCCCTTTGTAGAGCAAGAGCAAAGTGGCCTGGGCGTGAAGGGAGGCCTACGGGGGCTGAGCACTGTGTGGGTGAAGGTGAGGCAGGGAAGCCCTATGAACTGTGGTCCCTGAGTTGTGCAGGAAAGAGTGGCATTTAGCAGAAGTTTCCAATGGCCATGAGGCAAACCCTCCCCTCCAGCTCTCCCACGGGCTCTTCAGGAAAGTCTCAAACGCTCACATGCATTTGAGGGAGTGGATTCTTTCTGGTGGACACGGAAAGAGGCTAGTGCAAGATGGAAATGCAGACTGGAGGCCTGGCCAAAGGAGTTAGAGGCCAAAGTGGGCAGCTTGGGTCTTGGACTGGAGGGCTCATCCTAGCCCCACGGGCATCTTCCAAAGCAGGTGGTCTGCTCCCGTCATCGGGCTAGGATCCCAGAGAATGAGAAACATGACGTTCCCCCTGCCAGCTGCCGGAGACGGGGCTGGGCACCTGCATGGGCGAACCAGCTGGGAGACCAGTTCTTGTGGGAGGTCCCACCCAAAAAGCACTTACTAGAACATTTCAATACATAGTAAATCGAATGCCAAGTTCTAAGTGAAAGAGAGAAAAGAGAAACGCTGTATGTCACAGGACTCGCTACTGGTTGAGCAGAGCACCCTCTATGCGGCAGGAAGCCCCTCACTGTCTCCCTTCCTGGTGGCTCTGCTCTGGCCACGGGAGCGCGTCTGGAGCTACTTGCTGCCCTCAGTGACTAGCATGGCGTCTGGCAGGACGCAGTGGCTTCCTACATAGCCACGGACTGAAATGAATGAGGGAACGAACGAACCAGTGGGTAAGTTCTGGTCTGGATCCTGGCAGCATGCAGAAGTTTCCCACTCAGTGTCCCCCCACTGGCCTGGGGCCAGGGGACACTGGCTTGCCTATAAGCCCCGTATGTCACGGTCTCCCTAGGAGTCCCCTGAAGGATGCTGACACAAGTCGGACTTTTACTCATCAGATCTGGAGTCCACCCTAGAGCCTATCTGGGGTTCTCATTGCCACAGCTGGGCTGGCCCCAGGGCGCAGGCAGCGGGGCCCACTGGCCTGAGCAAGCTAGGCAAGAACAGAGCAAACGTCCCTCCGGGAGTCCTACAGCAGGGACAGAGGGAGCAGGTTCCAAGGGCTCACAGTGTTTGTCCTCCCCCTTTCCAGCCCTCCATCTAGGCTCTCACAGACAGACTGACCAACGGACGTGGGACTAGTCCCTGTAGCTGTCACCATGGCCTCTGGATGGAGCCAGGAGCACAAAGAGGGGGACTCAGTGGTCAGGAGGATGTGGATTTGGGTCAGCCCTGCCCTATCAGAGGAGAACGAAGCAGGACAAGTCACCTCACCTCTCAGAGCCTGCGGACACTGTGAGTCACCGCTGTGTAGGGTTCTTGAGGATTTGGTGAGGCCAAGACAGGGTCTGGCGCACAGGGGATGCTCGACAAAGATCACTTATGACCTATCGTTTACATCCCTCTGTCCTGTGAGGATGTCCTGGGTGGGTTCATCTCCTCTCTGGACATTTTATGATTATGGGGACGGATAAGACAGGAGGCTTCAGCACTAGAGGAGAAGCGAGGAGTGTGGAGAGAGAGAGAGAGAGAGTGTGTGTGTGTGTGAGTGTGAGCACGCACGCACGTGTGTGGGTGTGTATATGTGTGAGCTGTGTGTGAATGTACGTGCGAGACTGTATACCCACATATGTGTGAGTACACGAGCGCACGTGTGTATGAATGTGTACACACACGGGGCATTTCTTAGGAAACGTGCACACGCACGTGGGAGTCTGTGTGTGTGTGTGTAGAGTGTACGTAACTGTGGGAGTGTGCACACACGCCCCTGCACGCCGCTGGAGGGGCTACTTCGAAGGACAGTGCAAATCCGCCTCTGCAGCTTTCCGAGTCAGTGGATTTCTCCCCACATCCCTCACACCCTGAGTCGCCACGATGCCCCTTCACCTTTGGGGGCACCGTAGCTACGGGCGCTCCCCGTTCAGAGCCCATGAGTGCGTGGGGGACACGCAGTGGGTGGATTCCTGAGCAGGAGGCCCCACTCCGGGGGCAAAAGTGCTCACCACAGGAAGCCAAACCCTGGGCTGGGATCCACTTCACGGTCACGGTGCCCAAGGCCTGAGGCCACGCAGGTGTAACACTCTCAGACCCCAGCAGGCGGAGCCACGTGCCCATCTCCACACCAGGCCCATCTTGGGCTTCTGGTTTTGAGAAGCCACATTTCAGACCAAATCTGCTCGCAGGTCTCCTCGGCAGCTCAGCCTGAGGAAGAGGTGCCAGCCTCAGGCTCCTGGGCCAGCACTGGGCCGGACGATGAGTGGGGCTGCTCAGAGCATGGGGCTGGGACCCCCACCCCACGCCCATCCTGCTCTTCCACCCCCCCGTCTGAGCGGGCCCTGCCCCTGGGCCGAGCTGACCTGAGGAGCCACAGAGCAGCCTCCCCAGCCTGGGCCAGTGAGGGGCAGTGGGGGTGGGGCTGGTCCCTGCCCAGAGCCCTGAGTGCCACCCTGGGAGAGAGGCTGAGCTGAGGCCACACTCACCTTTCCAGCCCTGAAGACATCTCTTCACTAAACTCTGAGCTCTCACTACTGCCTGGAAAAGGAACACAGATCAATGAGCGTGGCAGCCTCACAGAAGAGCGGCCAACCCCACAGGAGTCCGTTCTCCTGGGTCAGCAGGCCCAGGGCCCTGAGCTCCACAGACATGCGGGAGACACGGCTTTCTGACCCCGGGGGGATCCATGTGACTGGGGGTTTTGCTGCTGCCACTTCTCACTCGCTCTCCTGGGACAGTCAAAAGAAGTCTCCCCTACTGTTCCCGGTAGGTCCTCCACCCTTCCCACTGCCTCCTGCCCACCCCTGACCCCGCAAGGCTGCTCCTGGCTATGCACTGGCCCGCCAGGCCCTGCGCCCCTCAGCCTGCATGTCGGCCTGGCCTGGCCCTACCACAGCCTCCCTCCTGGACCAAGTGAAACCAGTGCTAGAACAAGCCTCACCAAGTGAGGACACGGGCCAAATGAGCGCTTCTTTTCCCAAGGGCCAAGACTGTCACAGTAACTGCCTGGCATGAGACAGAAGCCTTGCGGAAGTGGCCCCTTGCCTCCTGGCCAGCATACACAGGAGAAAGGGTCCATCTCCCCCAGCTGGCCTTCTGGGGCGGACTGGGACACCTGCTCGCCAAGGCCCGGCTCTCGCCGCAAGGACGCCTCTCACGGCACACTGCCCAGTCCTCTGTGCTCTCCCTCAGGCCTTGGCACTGCCTCACTTTGGCCCTCTGAGGGCCGCCTGCTGGCACCGACTCTGGGCAGGGGGAGAGGGGGAGGGAGGAGGTCTCAGGTCCCTCGGGAGTCACCGGGTGGTGAGGGCTCCAAATAGGGCACACGCACGCATGGTTTTCGGCTCCATACAGAAAAGTGTCTGAGTTTTCCACGAAGAGGAGCGGAGAACCAAACCGCCTGATGATCCCTGTCTGGATACTGGAGAGTGTTGTGTCTGACTCAGTTTTCTGAGTCAAGGCTGGGGGCTCAGGCACAGCTCAGCAAGTTTCCTGGGATGTAAAACAGCTGCCCTGCTGCTCCGCTGAAGGCTTTGGGGGCTGGCGTTTCCCAGACTGGTTCCTTGGAACCTCCTACCCATCCCTACCTCATTCCAGAACACTCCAAGGAAAAGGGTGCCATGACCAGACTGGGAGAACCTGCAGACTCTACCGCCTTTTTGGTGATCCATAATGCCCATCGGCACATTCAAGGCTCTGAGAACAGGCCTGCTTACCTGGTTCAACCCAGCCTTTCCCCACCCTACTCACCCCGGAATTCTTCTCTCCAGCATACTGACACCTATGAACCACGGGCTGCACTGTCCTGAGCTGTCATAAACTCCTGACTGGGTCCAGTGAGGATGACTTCCTCCCAGGCCAGAAGGGAGACATAGGCCTTGCTTGTCACAGTCTTTCTGGCAGTGGGAGAGAGCTGTCCCCTCCCCCCCAGTGATAGTGACTCAGAGACCTCCCTCATTTCGCAGGTATGCAGGACCTGGGATCCCCACCCTCCCCCCAACTTCCTCCGGGGGCTCATGGGCCCCCAACCAGACCTCAGGAGATCAAACCCCTACCCTGGCGACTCCCTAAGCCGCCACCAGCCCTGGGAGGGCTCCCTGTGAAGGGAAGCAGACAGACACACAGACACACAGACTACGGAAACACAGGCAAACCGAAAGGCACGGCCAGTGGACAGTGTACTTGTCTGATGGTTGTAATGACAGGTGACCTGGGCACTACAGAGGGACAGGCCTGTGACCAGAGCACAACAGTGTCCTAGCCCTGACTCAGCCTCTCTCCATCCTGGCCTCAGCGATTCGGCTTGTGTTCCTTCTATGGACACAAGTACCATTTCTGGCTCTAGCTCAAACACGCAATTTCATCCCTGAGGATCAATTTTTCATCCTCCGAAACTCTGGCTTCTCAGTGTGAAGACAAGTATACAAGAAGAACCCGGTGGCCCGCCCCGCTGCTGTCCCCAGGCAGCTTCACCTACTGCTTCCCCTACTTGGCTTTGCACACGGGGGCTTGTGGTGTCCCCAGGACAGAAGGCCCCCTGGGGCATAGCCAGGCTTTGGCAGCTGCCAACCAATAACAGCGGGTCTCAGGTGTGCATCCGGCGGCTCCTTCCACCTGCCTGCTGCGCTCGGAGCACCCAGTGGAACCCCGGAGACCGGGAAGCAGAGGCCTCCCTGGCTTGGGCGACTGCGGTAGGGAGCCCTTTCTGCAGGGGGTGGGGGGCCACCGGGCGCTGCACAGTGACAGAGACAGACACGGAGCACACACCAGACTGTGGCCCGCCCGCTGTCGTGTGCAGGCCGGAGACGCTTACCTAGGGAGAGTCCATTGGTGACGGCAGAGGAGGAGGTGAGGGCGAGGGCCCTGCGGGGGCTGCGGGACTCTAGGACACTGTCGTCCAGCAGGTGCCTCGCTTTCTCCGATGGGAATGTCGCACTTTTACTCTCAACTACACTCAACTGACACATCATACTGGAAAATGGAAAGGAAGAAAGAAGGCAAAGCTCCTTATCTGTGGCATAACAGCGAGCACACCTGCACGTGCACGGGGGCCCTGAGCAGACGGCGCAGCTGGAGGAAAAGGACTTCCGCCCAGAAGCATGGTGCAAGTCCAGGCTCTGCCCTAGCTCATGGCGTGACCTTGGGCAAGTCGCCTCCTTACTCTGAGCCTCAGTTTCTCCATCTGTCAAATGGGGACTAATGATACTTGCCCTGTGTCTCTCGGGAGGACGACAAGGCTCAAGTGAGCAGACAGTGCTTGCGAACGATGCAGCCACACAGGGGAAGGGGCGGCGTGACCTGCGGCCAGCATGCCTGGCTCTGGAGCCACACGCCTGGTCCAGATCCTTGTGTCAACCTTGCTCACAGCTGCAAAGTACTCCACCTGACTGAGTCTCAGAGGATGGCTTCTCACAAGGTATGAAGACAGCACCCACCTCGCACGCCTGCAGGGGCTCAAGGACGTAAGGCACGGCAGGCACATGGCGGAGCATCTAACCAGGGCAAAGCCCGAAACACTCAGAGATGACCCTTCCCCTCCGGCCTGTGAGGGACCCCAGGGCCAGCTTGAGCTGCCTGAGGCTTGTGTCTTAGTGGAGGAAGAAAGGAAGGGAGAGAGGCACGGAGGGAAGGAGAGGAGGGAAGAACAGAGGGAGGAGGGACCCAGCTGTTCAAGAGTCTGTGCCCAAAACCCTGGGGACACAGGCCCGGCCATGATGAGGCCAGAAGGGACCTGGGTGCCCCCACCCCCGGCTGTCAGTCCCATATGGCCGGGCAAACCAGCGGCAGGCTCACTGCCCTTCGGGCTTTCTGAAACAACGGGCGAAAAGAGACCCTGAGCCCCAACACTGGCAGATGCCTGTGCCTCGAGACATCTGGTGATGTCCTGGATAACAGTCATGATGTCCAGTGGACTCTGGAGTTTTCCATAAGGGAGGCACTAACTGAGCTTGGGTAAAGCTTCTGGAATCCCACCATCGTTTCCCTGCACTTCCCCGTCTGCTTCCTCCATCGGCTCCCGAACCAGTGATGCTCACCACTGGTACACAGGCTGTGCTGCCCCAGCCTCCCTCCCAACTCCTCTGAGCCGGTGTCAGCCTGGGGAGAGGGCACCTGCCAGGGATACCGAGAGCACTCAGCAGACGGATAAGGGAGCCCCCCAGTGGGCAAGCATTCCCAGCAGCCCTGGAGCCCATGTCCCACACTCAGCCCAGTCTGGAGCCCACGGCAGGTGTTGGGGGGTGCGGGGAGATGCTCAGTCACCCACTTGTTTCCCAGGCTGTGGCTCTTCCTGTGTCTCGGGACAGGGGGTGTGGGGAGGCTGCCCGCAACAGATGCATCAGGACAGGTGGGCCGTCGGCTGAACCTCGCAGAGCTGGAGCTGGCGGAGGGGCCTGTGAACAGAACAGGAGAGAGAGAGCAATGGTCAAGGCAGGCTGGGGAGGCTCAGAGGTGGTGGCCCCGGTGGGGTAAGGCACTAGGCCTGGCTGCCATAAGCAGGACAAGGCTCACAGAAGCCTCGAGGCTTTCTACTCATGAGACACAGACCCCTCACTGGCAGGATAACTAGCCTCTGAACTGTCAAGATGGCTGGTGTCCTGCTGCACACGGTGTCCCTGGACCGGACAGTGCCATTGGCTAATACAGCGAATGTGCGGATGGAGGTGGGGGGCACAGGTGGGAGGCAGGCATGGGGACTGGCAGCCTAGCTTGGTCTCCCCACGGCAACATTTCTCCAAGGCACCCAGCTGGGTGGCAGAACTCAGAGCTCACAGTGTATCTTCTGAATCGAAGTCCAGTGTCCGTGCCCTGTGCCCCCGTGGCCACTTTCTGTTCTCTGCTCATTCAGCCAAAGGGGATGGGGGGCTTCTCGGGGAAGCAGTGGCTTTCCTGCAGTAGGCCATGGCTAGGGAGGCAGGGGCTGAGACGCCAGGCCTATCCATTACTGGCTGATGACCTTGGACAGGTTATTTCACTCGATCCCTGAGCTTCAGGTTTCTCATCTGGAAAGCAGGAGTAACTCAGCTGACCTTGCAGGTGGTTGGGAGGTCATGAGGTCACGTACGTGGAGTCTCACAGACAGTGCTCCTACTTGTTTGATTCTGGTAATTATTACCATGTCTTCCTCAGCCTTAGCATGGGGTCAGTGGGAGGTCACGAGAGCAGGGTCGGGGGGGGCTGCTGGGGCCACAAACCGCCCTGGGTGCTGAGTGTGGAGACTGAGGCAGAACCCTTTGTGCGGCCACGTCCTGGGCTATACAGTTGGAGGGGCAAGGTCCTGACCACTACTGTGGTAGTGGGAAGGGAAGTCTTGAAGGGAGGGGACCCCAGATGCTAGTCTAGCCTTAGCTACCCAGGACAGACGCTGGAAGTTAAGAGCCCGCGCTTCCACAAAGGAGTTGGCCGCTCCCTGCACAGCACATCGACACACAGAGAGCCGACAGGCTGCTGCCCAGCCACGCGGGCGAGCTTCCCTGCAGGGCCTGTGAGGTCCACGCAGGGCTTCAGACCCTCCACCACAAGACGCCGCAGATCCACACGGGGCCTAAGGGTTCCCTGTCCTCCAGCACGCCTGGCTCATCCCCATTTTCATGTCCTAAATACTGAGCCCTGTTCCCAGCCTGTCACTGAAGAAAGCCTAGCTCCCTCCCGGTACTCTGGAAGGTTCAGGAGGCAGGCGAACACACCCCGTCCGGGGCGCGGACTTCCCGCTCCCTGCCGTTGGCTCACCTCTGCCTCCCGTCCACAACCCACAGGGCACACACACCTCCTCCCTCAGACCCCCGCGCCCCACCACCAACCCCTCTGTCCTTGAGCCCCTTGCGCAGCTTGTGGACCTCTCCCTTTCAAGCAATGCTGCTCCTCCTTCCATGAGGAAGCTGTGGCTGTCGGGTCCAGCCTGCGACTGTCACCGGTGGCCGCACCCACACGCGGCTCCCTGCTGGGCCCGGGGCTTAGAACTTGTCTCCTCCCGGTTCTACCTGCTCCCTCTGAGAACTCACGCCATCACCTCCCATTCTCTCCCCAGGCCCCTTCCCCAGCCCTCTAAACACACCCTTGTCTCTCCTTCTCTGTGAAATAAGGTCCCTTGGCCCCGTCTTCCTCCCAGCCAGTCGCGCCCCGTCAGAGGGCTGTTCTCGAAGCTCCGCTTCTGTCCTCCACACCCAGCCTTCAAGTCACTGAAATCTGGTTTCCACACCCAGTGACATTTCCATTGACCTCCTTTTTGTGAAACTAACGAACACCGTTGTCCTTCTCACCAGAGCCTGTGGCATCTGGTGCCAATGACCAGTCCTTCTCGAAACACCATATGTCCTGGGTGTCTCGGTGTCCGTGTGTCTCACTCTCCTGCCTCTCTCCGTGCATCTTCGCCACTGTCGCTCTGGCTCCTCCGTGGGCTGCTTATCCTCCAACAAGCTCTCACGCTTGTGTTTTCTACACACGCTTCCCTCTTTGGCTCCTGATTTTGATTTAATTTATCTCACCAGATATGCTGATGAGTCTGAAATGGACACTTTTCTGAGCCTGAAACCAAGAGACCCAGGACGTTTTCATCTTAACTTCCGTAAGGTATCCCAAGTTCAGCTCAGTGAAGGCTGAACCTGGAGCCTCCTCCTCTGTTTCCAACTCTGGACACTCTGACACCTGGCCTGGAAGGTGGTGTCATCTCGGCCTCTCCTAGACTGTGACTTGTCTCTTCTCTTCTTATCTCCTCTTCGTTTGCCATACACAATCGCCAAGGCCCCCAGATTTTGCACATCTCCTCGCACCCATCACTCATGTCACTGCATGGTCTGAGTCCCCACACTTTATCTTCTGCCTCTGAAATCCAACCCCCATACGGCTCCATGAGTGTCTGAAAAAATGAGAAGCCGGACACACCATCTTCTTGCTTGCAACTGCTGATGCCATGGTGTTCACACACTGCCTAACCTGGCTATTTAAGCTGATCTTAAAATCTTGTTGGAAAAATAAAGGGACAAAGTAGCCAAAACAGTTCTTAAAAACAGTAAAGGCCTCGCCCTGCCAGATATCAGAACAAAACACAAACAACAGTGATTCACATAGTTTGGTCTTGGGGCAGGGATAGAGAAACAGTTCAGTAAATCAGAAGGGAGAGCCCAGATTTGCTTCTTCGTGGTGGTGGAATTACACATCAGTGGGGAAGGGAGGGTGTGTTTAGTATATGGCACTGGGCTCCATTTGAAGAAAGATGAAATTAGAGTCCTCCCACCTTATATTACAGAAGCAGATTCATGTCATGAATGTGAAAATCAAAAATGTGAGACTACTGGGAAAAAAATACAAGGCAATCTTTATGACCTTGGAGGAAGAAATGAAAAGCATAAACCCTAAAGGACAAAAAAAATTGAATACAGGGGCACCTGGCTGGCTCAGTCAGTTAAGCGTCTGCCTTCGACTCAGGTCATGATCCCACGGTCCTGGGATCAAGCCCCACATCGGGCTCCCTGCTGAGCAGAGAGCCTGCTTCTCCCTCTACCTCTGCCTGCCGCTCTGCCCACTGTGCTCTCTGTCTCTCTGTCAAATAAATAAATAAAATCTTGAAATAAAATAAAATGAAATGAAACATTTCTTCTCCAAAACAAACAAATAAAAGACCGCAAAAATGATGTTAAAAGGCAAGTTGTAGTCTGGGAGAAGAGATCTATCACCACATCACTAGCAAAGGATTCGTGGTGAGATACATGAAGAACTTCAAATATCGGTGAAGAGAGACAAACCATACAGAGAAGATAGGTAAAGGACACAAATGGGAAATGCACGTGCACAATCACTACTACAAAGAGACATGCTTAACCTCACTGGGGATAGCAGGAATGCAAATTATATAGTAGAAGTGAGGAAAAAAACTCTCTTACCTTAATAGATTGTAAAAATTAATTAGCCTAACGATGTCCAGTGCTGGCTAGGATGTGAGAGGAGGGGGATGCTAGTTCGGGGCCCACAGGAGTGCCCAATACTTGGAAAGCGGCAACGGCGAGTGAAGGTGAAGGTGCCAGGGCTCTGCGTGCTGGCGGTTCCAACTCGGGGGATCCGAGCAAACGCCTGCAGATGTGCACAAGGAGACGCGTGCACAAGGATGTGCTACGTAGCACTGCGTCCAACGGCAGAAGAGGGGAAACCGTCCACATGGCCCTCAGGAGGGAAATGGATGAATGAGCTGTGATCTATTCATCCAGCAAATTCTACAGAGCAGGAAAACCGTGAAGAAACCAGATTTAAAGGTATCAATACAGATTAAATCCTAGAAGCAACTAGAAGTGGAAAGTGTAAGGTGCAAAAGTGTTGTTTACATTGAGGCATGATGCCATTTGTGTAAACATTTTAGAACGTGCAAACCATGTTCCAGTTCCAGGCTACCTGGGGTATCTCAGAAGCGGGCTCTGACAGATGGATCCATGACAAGGACGCCCGGGAGGCGGGGCCTGGACTTTACCAACAAGACACGGCCCGTGGAAGGCCTTCGAGGAGCGTGTGCAGGTACTGAGACGTACCTCAGCTGATCGTCTGCGGGCATCTTTCCCCGCAAGGCGGTCCACGCCATCACCAGCCCAGTTCACCGGGAGATGGAGCAGAGGCATCTGGAGAGAAATGGGGTTTCTCGGGCCCATCCTGGAGGTTCTGATTTCATTGGCTTCAAGCGGGTCTGGCCATTGCTCTCCAGGTGGCCCGCACGCGCACCCCAGTGAAGACATTCTGCGCAAAAGCTGGGACAAAAGCAAGCTCAGGCCTGGGGGAAATGTCTCGTGTGGCTGCCCCAGATAAGAAAGGGAAGAATGGAGGCCGTCCTGGTTTGTTTTTGTTTTGCACTTATTGCTCAATAAGTGAATCCATGCGGAGGGTGGAATTCGCCTTGTTTATCAGTGGCATGGCCGTGGGATTACACTGACTGAGTCACCCTGGCTCCCACCATGGGTTCAGAAAGTGTTTTGTAAAGGTCAGCTTGCGCTGCTCTGGCCCCTGTGGTTTGAACTGGAACTCGACTCCCTGTGCTGTCACAGTAATAATGACGGTGATAATCACGATCGAGTGTTCTGCGCCGGGGACCGAGGTGCGGGGCGTGCTGCCCTCCACGTCGGGGCTTCTCCCAGCAGCTCTGGTTCATAGGTGGGAAAGCCAGGGCCCATGCGGCAGCCACGTGCTGGACTTGAGCCCAGGGGTACACGGGTCTCCCAGTGGGGGCGGGACAGGGAGTGGGGGGGCAGGTCTAGCAGTTCGAAGGTCAGGCGTTACCGAAAACCTGAGGCAGAAAAAACAGTGTCACACTTGAGGTGATCCGACAGAAGCAGGTGGCACTTCCTCTAGGAAGCGTGTGTTGCAAAAGGTCCAACTGCTACACTTGCAGGTTAAGGTGGAGAGGACAAACATCTAC